CAGTGGGGGGGGTGGGGTGGCCGCAGGGGGCACATGGTGGCCATGGGGGGACCCAGTGGCCATGAGGGGGATGCGGTGGCCAGAGGGAGCACACGGTGGCCATGAGGGGGACCCGGTGGCCTCAATACCCGACCCGCGCCGTCCCGCAGTGTGCGCGGGGACGCTGAACGGGCTGAGCGTGACGGGGGACGCGCAGCACCAGTACCAGACCCTGCACAAGATGTACAACAACTGCGAGGTGGTCATGGGCAACCTGGAGATCGTCCTCATCGACCACGCGCAGTACCTCTCCTTCCTGCAGGTTTGGGAACGGGGTGAGGGGGGTCCCGGTGCCGGGGTGACGCCGCCGCCACTGCCCCGCAGACCATCCGGGAGGTGACGGGGTACGTCCTGATCGCCATGAACGTCTTCTCGGCGCTGCCGCTGCGCAGCCTCCGCGTCATCCGCGGGACCCAGTTCTACGAGGAGAAGTTCGCGCTCTTCGTGCTGCTCAACTACAACCCCAACGCCACCCACGCCCTGCGCCACCTCGGCCTCAACCAGCTCACGGGTGAGACCCCGGCCCTGCCCCGTGGTCCCCATTCGGGTCAGTGCCACCTCCCTGTGCACCCTGGGGCTGTGCTGTCCCCGTGTGTCCCATGGTCCCCAACCCAGAATGGTGCTGTCCCCGCCATGGTCCCCATTCGGGTCAGTGCCACCTCCCGTGGTCCCCATCCATGGCAGTGCCACGTCCCCCGGTCCCCATTTGGGTCGGTGCCACCTCGCCATGCACCCTGGGGCTGTGCTGTCCCCATGTGGTCCCCATTCTGGAGCAACAGTGTCCCCCCCATGGTCTCCATTCCAGACCAGTGCCACGTCCCCTGGTCCCCATTCGGGTCAGTGCCACCTCCCTGTGCACCCTGGGGCTGTGCTGTCCCCATGTGTCCCGTGGTCCCCAACCCAGAGCGGTGCTGTCCCCCTGTGGTCCCCATTCTGGAGCGACAGCGTCCCCCCCATGGTCTCCATCCCAGACCTGCAGTCCCCATCCTGCACCAGTGCTGTCCCCATTGTGTCCCTGTCCCAGACCAGGGCCATCTCCCCATGCTCCCCCTCTAAAACCAGTGCCATCCCCATGGTCCCCATCCAAACCAGTGCCACCCCCCTCTGTGTCCTGGGGCCGCGGTGTCCCCCTGCAGTCCCCATTCTGGAGGTCCCCAGTGCCACCCCCATGGTCCCCATCCCAGAGCGGTGCTGTCCCCACCATGGTCCTCATCCAAACCAGTGCCACCCCCCTGTGCTGTCCCCTCTGTGGTCCCCATCCCGGAGCGGTGCCATCGCCTCCCTGCAGTGTTGGGCAGGGCCAGGGGGGGTCCGCAGCCCCTGTCACC